AATTTATGTTTCTAAAGGTAATTCTGAATGATTCTTGGTTGAGTCATCAAGAAAAAACACGAAGCAAATGTCAGAGCAAATGTCTGAAATGAGACAGGCACTGCAAACCGCTTAGCCTGGCCAGATAGAGCCACGCTGAGCCTCCACCCCACCTGCGTGCCAGGAGATCTGTGCCTCTTCCGTCTCCTGCAGGCAATGCAGGAGCGAAACTTTCCACGCTGACAAATCCACGTTAATGCTCTATCATTAACATTTATACTCCTGGAAATCCTTCAACTTAATTGAAAGAAAGGAAATAAGTTTTCTGACCTCTTTTCAATCCAAAATAATATCTATCATTTTCATTAATAGACAATACTAGTGCACGCAGCACAGTGCAATAGACATCAATCTGTTTTATAGCAAGTCCCACAGCAAATTAAGTCGCACTGGGTTATAATTTTCAGTAGTATACAAATAGACCCATAATAAATCTAAAATGGTATTATGCCACTCAATCAAAGAAGTAGAAAACAGCCAAGGGAAAAAATATACTTTGGATTCTTACACTGTATTGACGTACATGGTGAGTAAGATAATAATTTATATGGAAAGTAATGTCATTGCTCATTTTGGAATTATTGAAATCAGTTTTTGAAAATGAAAAAGACTGAGGCAAAAATGAAAAAAAAATTAGAGAACAATATCTTCCAACAACTAGTTCATCATCAAATAAGATTCATAAATACACTTGCCACCAAATACAAATGTACACATTTTGTCCAAATGAAGCAAAGCTGTATGCTATTTACCCAGCACACCGCATTCTGCAGCAGCTGTGCCAGCATAATGAGAGCAGCGTGCTTAGAAACCGTTCTCTTATTTACATAGGAAAGGGAGGGAGGGAGGGAGGGAATCCACCTTCCTGAGCATCACCCTTCTCCAGGTCACCTGCCGACCGGGCAGACACGCACAGCCGTCATCTGCAGCCCAATCCTGGTTCCCTTTTCTGGAGCAGGAAGTGCCAAGCTACAGCTCCCGGGCCAAATCTGGCCAACTGCCTGTTTTCTTAAAGAAAACTTGATGGAGGCCTGGTGCGGTGGCTCATGCCTGTAATCCCAGCACTTTCGAAGGCTGAGGCAGGCGGATCAACTGAGGTCAGGAGTTTGAGATCAGCCTGACCAACGTGGTAAAACCTTGCCTCTACTAAAAATACAAAAATTAGCCAGGCGAGGTGGCGGGTGTCTGTAGTCCCAGCTACTTGGGAGGCTGAGGCAGGAGAATCACTTGAACCGAGGAGGCAGAGGTTGCAGTGAGCTGAGACTGCACCACTGCACTTCAGCCTGGGCAACAGAGCAAGACTTGGTCTCAAAAAAAAGAAAAAAGAAAAAAGCAAGCTTGACTGGAACACAGCCATGCTCATTGGTTTATATATTGCCTGTGGCTCTTTCGTGCGGCCAACAGCAGACTTGGGACTGTCTGGCCTGAAAAGCCTAACCCAAGTGCGTCTGCCCCTTCACAGAACCAGGTCTGCCGACTTCCATCAGAGTGCTAGGCTGAACCTCCCCACCCTCATACTCCTGATGCCTAAGTCCTAAAGCCCTAGGCTCTGGCTAAATAAAACATGGAACTTCAACATAGTGAAATAGTAAAATGATACTTACTAAGAGTCGCTAATGATCTAGGGCAGGGAACTCTAGTATAATGCTAAGGGTTAAGGATACGAAATAGTAAATTCTGTCCACTTCCATCACTGCAAAATGTACATGCACAGAAAAAAGGCCAACAGGCAATACATCAAAAAGTGAACACTAGTTGTCCTTAGATGGTAAAATCTTGGATAATTTTTTTCTACTTTTAACTTTTTAGCAATTTTCTGAAAAGAATGTGTATTTCATTTTTAATTAGGAAATAAATTGACTTTTCAAAATGAAAAAATAAAACTGTAATCCTAAAAACATATGTAATTACTGTCTGACAAACTATCTCATTCTTCCACTGGGGGAAAAAAAAAAAGCCCTGGTGGTTTTTAACTTAGCTCACACAAAACTACACATTTCACTTGATAATTCTTTAATGAACATAGTCCATTACCACTCACAGGCTACAGACACCCAGCAAAATGTCATGTTCAACCTAATTTCAGCACTTCAGTATGGGAGAAAGCAGTTTACTGTAAAAGAGCTGCCACCTGAGACACCGCTCAATTGTTCCAGGCAGTGGTTATCTGATGACCACTGTCTGCCACTGTGGCATATTGATTTCAAAGTCCCTCTTATGGTAACTGTATCAGTTTGTTTTTCACTGCACTTCCTACTAAATGCTTACCTTAAAAAATCTGACTGTGTCCTAACTCCCACAAGGATTTCAGAGGCTACTGGGATGATCCACCACGTCTTGGTAGAGAGAAAGCACATTCCCCAGTCAGAGGGCAGGTACCCATTTCAGAAATAACAAGGCCAGCAGCCCTCAGTGTGAAAGTCTGCTTCTTTATTTTATTTTATTTTACAGATGGGGTTTCCCTGTGTTCCTAGGGCTGGTCTCAAACTTCTGGGCTCAAATGATCCTCCTGCCTCAGCCTTCCGAGTAGCTGGGACTACAGGATGCACTGCCACATCTGGCCCAGGCATCTTTAGGAGGGCACGGCTGTGCGCGGAGGGAAGCCAAGTCCTTCCCACTCATGGCGGGAGAACGAAGTGCCTGAGAGACACCTGTCTACTCGAGGAAATGCACTGGGTTTGTGCTTGTTCTCTCAACACGGGACACCTCCAGTCTGCATGTTGGGGCCTCTATCTCCCTACTCTGCATCTCCTGGCTTTTCTATTTCCCATCTCGATCCTTTCCCATGGCCTCCTGTGAGCCCCCACTGTAGCCTTCCAGGCCATTCATTTGGGTCCAGCAGTGTCTCTCTTGCTATGGGTCCTATCTACTGTGTCCTTCATTTCAAACATTACAGTGCGCCAGTCTTCCCGCAGCAAGGACACCAGTGTAACAACTGCTAGCACACACAGAAAGCGCCTTCATACAAACCAGAAATTACGTGAGCGCTCATAGTACCCGGTTCAACTTCATGTTGTTGAAAGAGGCACTGAGAGGCAGAAAAAACAGTCTTGAAAAGAAAAGAAAAATGTTTGAGGTGATGGATAAGTTGGATAGATCCCAGTTACCCTGATTTTGATTGTTACGCATTGTATGCATGGATCAAAATATCACCTGGACCCCCAAAATACATACAGCTATCATATATCAATTTAAAGAATGCAAAGCAAATTCATTATAAGTTACTCAGTCTGTTGTATGCTGTTATAGCAACACAAAACAGACAGACAGACAAGAAAAAGTACTATAAAAGAAGAACCAAGCAGAAAATCACCCAGGGGCCTATAGGCTGAAGCTTCTACAGACGCACAATGGACACTGCCAGGGAACAGGCCTCCTTTCCACTCATTTTCCCGTCCCCCACTCCCGATTTCCTGCATGACTGCTTTGGTGCCCCCGAAGATAGGAGGTGGATCGAGATGGTGGAATAAAAGGCTCCACGAGTCCCATGTTGGCCAGGCTAGTCTCGAACTCCTGGCCTCAAGCAGGACTGTGGGTGAGAAGGCAGGAGACTGTCCGGAGTGTTAGGCCATCTTGACAGAAGCCTCAAGAGTGTCCTCGGCCGACAAGCAATCTGCCTGCCTACCCTCCCAAAGCATTGGGGTTACAGGCGTGAGCCACTGCACTTGCTATTTTTCTATTTTCTTTATAGAGACAGGGTCTCCCTATATTGCCCAGGCTGGTCTCAAGCTCCTGCGCTCAAGGGATCCTCCTGCCTCAGCCTCCTAAAGTGCTAGGATTACAGGTGTGAGCTACCACGCCCAGCCCTCTTCCCTTCATCTCCAACAATTTTGGGGTAACAGTAAAAGGAGGTCTCTCCCTGAGTGGAAACCTGCAGCACCAAAGTCTGGGGGGGAGGGCTAGGGACAGTTAGTGTGAGGGCTGCACCACAGTCACCCCAACATCATGAACCCCCAGCCCTGGGGTCTGGGATCAATTAGGACTTGGCTGCAGAGGCAGAGCAGGAAGGCCAAGTTTTCCTCCACCTAGCAGTTAAGGACACCCTCAGGCAGCCTTGCCCCTCCGGCCCCTCCCAGGGTGTCCCTGGGGGCCCTTACTTTGCTGTGCTGTTAGCCCCCCGTGTCCACCCAGGGCTGTGGGTGAGAAGGCAGGAGACTGTCTGGAGTGTTAGGCCATCTTGACAGAAGCCTCAAGAGTGTCCTCGGCCGACAGCACGGTGTCTGCTGCACAGCTGCACCATTCGCACGGCACCTCAAGGGAGAGGTGTTTATCTACTAGCCGGTAACAGCCACGACATATAAGCTTTTCAGCAAAACATAAAATGGGAAAGTAGATATTAAAGAGTGCCAAGATGGTCTGGGGAGAACACTGGATTTGGAGGCAGGAAACACATACATCCCATTGTGCGTTCTGCCGGTGATGTCGGGGCTGAAATGTGGCTTCTACCATCTTGGAATATCACACACATTTCTTCAGTTATGTTCCCAATGGCTATAACTTTTAAAAAGGATGGAGATAGAAAAATCATGGCTTTCTTTTCATTGCTAAAAATAAATGGAAAGATTACGCTTCAACTCAAGCAAGGGATTCAATGACTTCCTTTTTCAGAGTAGCCTTTCCCTCCCCCGGAAGAAAGTCCGGTTTCCAGTGTGGCCAGTCCTGGTACTAAGACACCTCCGAAGTGAACAAAGGTAAGGAGAGGGCGTTCCTGGAAACCACAAAGCAGCGAGCTACCCACGAACAGATCAGAAGGAAGAAAGGATCTTGAACTCTCAAAGAGTAAAACCCAAGCCTCCACCAGGAATCCTGAATCCTGAATGACACAAAAAGAAGACGGGGTACACTCATGTCTGTCACGTGGGCTCCTGGGACGACGTGAATGCCTGGGGCCCACATGGGCTGGGATTCCTGTGGGAGAGCCCAGGTGAGTGGGTCCCAGGGGCACAACAGGGGCCACTCACCAGCGCAGGGCGATCTTGATGGGCGTGGTGAGGCAGGAGGTGAACAGGTCAGCCGGGAGGTCAGGGATCATGGGCAGCAGCTCGGTGGCCTCGCAGGCTGCCAGCTGGATGCAGTTTTTCATTGATGGAGGCAAAGGCATCTGAGCAAGAGGGTGATTTGGGTTGATTGCAGCTACCTAAAGGGCAGAACATTTGGGAAAAGAGAGTGTGACTTAGCTGCTGGTCACAACCAAAGAGTAAGCTGGAGCTGTAACACAGAAGGAAAGAAGAAATCAACTCAGGCAGTCAGTTTTCACCAGAAAGTCCTCTGGAGAGAGGCACCGCTGCTGAACTGTCTCTGGAGGCCAACTGTAAGCCTGGAAAACTGGCCATCTCATTCCCTTCTGATGGCACAGCCTGGTTACGTCTCAGTCAACTCTGTTTTCTTCCCGGTTTTCCTCTTTGCAGGCCCCTACTTACCCTAGGATTGTATCAGTGTCCACCAGGTCTTTCATGGTGTCTTATGGTTTATTTATTTATTATAATAATAATAATTATTATTATTTTTGAGACGGAGTCTCGCTCTGTTGCGCAGGCTGGAGTGCAGTGGCACAATCTTGGCTCACTGCAAGCTCCACCTCCTGGGTTCACACCATTCTCCTGCCTCAGCCTCCCGAGTAGCTGGGACTACAGGTGCCCGCCACCACGCCCAGCTAATTTTTTGTATTTTTAGTAGAGACGGGGTTTCACCGTGTTAGCCAGGATGGTCTTGATTTCCTGACCTCGTGATCCACACGCCTCAGCCTCCCAAAGTGCTGGGATTACAGGCGTGAGCCACTGCGCCCGGCCCCTTATGGTTTATTTTAAATGTTCAATCTTTAATCCATCCTAACCTTATTTTGTTATGTTTAATGATATGGGAAGATGTTCAGGTTATGTGACCTGAACTCCATCACCCACAAAAAAGCAAAGCACAAAATGTGAGTCTGAGTGGGCTGACTAAACCGACCTATCAGAAGAGACTGGAAAACAGACAGAGCGAGTGAGTACGCACGTGTCCCCGAGTGGAGCGAACGCGCATCCCCGAGTGGGGGATTAGGGAGGGTTTATTTTCTCCCATCTTCATCGGATTTCTCTAAATGTTCTACAAACAAATGTGCAATAATTTTGTAAATGACGAGTTAATGGGTGCAGCACACCAGCATGGCACATGTATACGTATGTAACAAATCTGCACGTTGTGCACATGTACCCTAGAACTTAAAGTATAACAAAAAATTTTTTTAAAAATTTTGTTATCAGGGAGAAAGGTGGGGTGTTTTTTAAATTCAAAACTTAATCTCTCTTTAAAGTAGGGATAGGAATGCCGGTTGATATTTATTTCAATGAGACTTTGGTCATGTAAAACTATCATATGTGAAGCTGATATCACGGTGCCATTTTAGGAAGAAAAGCACTGAGTGAATTGTTGTTTACTACTAAAATGCACAGAAAATTTCACTTTTTACCAAACGAAATCTAATTGAAAGTGTAACTCTTCCTTCTTTTTAAATAAGGCATTACATTCAAAGGTTTAAAAAACGATAGGGCTGTCTGATACATGAGTTTGCTACACTGCCAAGGATAAGCAGGTGGGTTCCTCTTTTACCAAAAAACCACAGCACTCAGCAAAACCCAGGATCCTTATACTACCAAGTACAATTATTCCAGCATTGAGATTGTGATCCCTTTCCCTGGCTACCGACATTGCCTGTATGTGGCCATTTCGGTAATCCACAAGAGGTTTTGCTGTTGTTTTCAGAAATAATGAAGTTCCCAAGAATTCCTGGCATTTTGGCCAGTAAAATTTAATAAGCGTAACACACAAGGGATTATGTACGCACACTGCTCTGCCTGCTCCTGGAAATAGCTGACAAGAGCTGGACAATATCAGAACCAGTTCCGCCAAGTAGAATGCTTTCAGCTGGGGGTGTCCTCAGACACCGTGGGCTGCGTGCAGGGCCCACCTGCTGGAAGGGAGGCCCCGTGGGTCCCGGGAGAGCTCGGCTCGCAAAGCCCCTCCAGCGGCATCGTCGAGGCTGGTCCTTTGTTGCAGGGAGAGGGGAGAGGAGAAAGGGTAGCAGGAAACAAAGGGATAGAAAGAGACAGGGAACAGACCAAACAAGAACACACCACAGGCTGTGGAGACGGAATCTGCATTGCCTTCACTGCAGTTACCCTGAAATGTGATGCCTGGGCATATCATGCAGATAGCTAAAGGAATGAAAACACAAAACCCCAGAAATGCTGATCATGTAGAGCCACATGGCTTGCAGAACTCCTTCATTCACGTGTCTACAGATACCTATTATTCGGCGGTAATGGAAAGCATTCTGCTGTACGGCCCAATCTCGTCTGCCCATCTAGGCCGGGGACATGGAACGACAAGGTACCGAACGAGGCTTCAGACGGAGAGCACCTCCTGCTAATGTGGGGTCGTGGAACAAGCGGTCAGCATGAGGGCCGGAGCATCACATGACAGAGACTGGTCGTCCCAGATCCAGGGCCTGGACACTGTTTGTGACTTACACAATTCCTAGGGCTTGTTTTGTGAACACCACAGGGACGAGATCACTTTTCTGTTTACTCAGACTGTGGCAGGCCTCCATGAAGAAGAGGCGCTATTATAAATGAATATTATAAGTGACGATGAATATGAGGTGGGGGTGAGATGTATCCAGAACACATGACTTTTAATCACCAAGGGCTACGATGTGTTTCACGGCTTGACGGGGAGAGAACATGTCTGTGTCTGCGTTTTTGCTCCTTCCTTGCGCCTTCCTTTTAGTCACGAAGTTCTTAGTATTTGTCGCAGCCCTTTCACATATATTATTTCATCTGCTTTTTACCATCCCCATGAGGTTTCAGCTCCATGTTAAAAGAGCTTTGACGATGAGGACACAGAGGGCCCAAGGATGACACGGACTGCCCTGCAGCTGGGCCAGCACATGCGTCCAGAGTGCCGGGCACTGCCCCTGATTTTAGGGGCACCATTATCCCATTTGGATCCTCCTGAATCTCCACCAAACACCTACGACGCCAACATGAAAGCTGCCGAGCCTTCTCCAGACAGCACTCCCAGTGCTTTTGGAATGAAATACACACAGAGGTGTGTTCACTCACAGCCACCTCGCACAGCGGTGATGCTACAGAATGCACTGTCATCTGACTCTGGCAAAGTTTGTTTTCAATATCTCAAATTTCTCAAATGGAAGGTACTAACGACTGCTAGTTTTATTAATAACCCATTCTACCACAGGAACATTAAACCCAGAGTACAAATCAAATTCTCATATACTTAATAATATAAACTTTTCAATAAAATCTGCAATTTCTAGAGGAATGAGGTTTTTTTATGACAGTAAATTACATGTGGCATATAATTTGCCATGCTAACCGTTTTAAATGTACAGTTCAGCGACGTTAGGTATATTTACAAGCTGCGCAACAATCACCAAGCATCACCAAGGAGTGGGTGATTTTAAAGAAGAGGGAAGAGGGAAGGGAAAATCACGTTTAAAACCATTTCCTGGGCTCTGGGGTCTAGGCTCTATAAGCTAAAACAGCATCAGCGACGCAACCTGCTCTACACAGAAAATCAGTTTCCAGGTCTGCTGTGACAGGCCCACTAAGCCAGATGATGGGTCCAGGCACGATGTGGACCTGCACCTATTCAGACCCGCATCACAAAAGGCAGATGGGATGGGTGGGAGCGGCCATGTGAGCCTGGTGCTGGGAGGGCACGGGAAGGCTGTGAGGAAGTGCTGACTCCTGTGCTTGATGGAAACGCACTCTCCCTGGCCTCCGGAAAGGGGCTGGGAGGGAGGAGAGGGGGAGGCATCTGAGGCAGACCTCCGCGGAGTGAAGCCCACAGTCCTGAACTGTGGAAGGCGCCATTGGCGATGTCTGTCTGGGACTGTTGGCAGACTTGTGTTATTTTAATCAGCACCACTACCACTGGCCCTGTAAGAATGGCTGGCAGAGGATTAAAAAGGAAACAACTTTAAGTGGGAGGAAATGGCCCTTTATGCAAAAACTAAGTTTAATATTCCTATTTTCCTTTTCAAAGGGATATGTAAATAGCAGAAATATTGCAAAAAATATCAGTGTGGTTTACTAGTTTTAACTTTTCTTTTTATAGAACCAGGTGTGGTGGCTCACATCTGTAATCCTAGCACTTTGGGAGGCTGAGGTGGGAGGATCCCTTGGGCTCAGAAGTTCAAGATGGCAGTGAGCTCTGGTGGCACCACTGCACTCCAGCCTGGGTGACAGAGCAAAGCCATCTCTAAAAACAAACCAAAAAAAAGCCCCCCTATATGAAAAGCTTTTCTTTTTGTTAAGTTGCTGTTAAATTTACTGTCTAACCATTAATGAGAAGTGAGCAACAGGTTCTTCCACCACAGCCTCTAAACACACACTGCAGTCCCTCCATCCATCCAACACACACAACACTGCAGTCCCTCCATCCATCCAACAGTCCTCCCACCACAGCCTCTAAACACACACTGCAGTCCCTCCCTCCATCCAACAGTCCTCCCACCACAGCCTCTAAACACACACTGCAGTCCCTCCATCCATCCAACAGTCCTCCCACCACAGCCTCTAAACACACACTGCAGTCCCTCCATCCAACAGCTCCTCCCACCACAGCCTCTAAACACTCACTGCAGTCCCTCCATCCATCCAACAGTCCTCCCACCACAGCCTCTAACCACACACTGCAGTCCCTCCATCCAACAGTCCTCCCACCACAGCCTCTAAACACACACTGCAGTCCCTCCCTCCATCCACCAGTCCTCCCACCACAGCCTCTAAACACACACTGCAGTCCCTCCATCCATCCAACAGTCCTCCCACCACAGCCTCTAAACACACACTGCAGTCCCTCCATCCATCCAACAGTCCTCCCACCACAGCCTCCCCAAGCCCCACACACTGCAGTCCCTCCATCCATCCAACAATGATCCTCCCGCCACAGCCTCTAAACACACACTGCAGTCCCTCCATCCAACAGTCCTCCCGCCACAGCCTCTAAACACACACTGCAGTCCCTCCCTCCATCCAACAGTCCTCCCGCCACAGCCTCTAAGCACACACTGCAGTCCCCTCCATCCAACAACAGTCCCTCCTGCCACAGCCTCTAAACACACACGGTCAC